TGAGGCCAGAAAACCCAGGGGGGTGGAACTGATTCTAGAGTTGGATAGCCGTTCACAGTCTTTTTTTAATCCTGATCTGATGTCTTTGTCAAATTGGCAAATGAACTATAGCTCAGCAGTTTCTCTTTGGAGTCTGGTCCTGAAGGTTTTTTGCTGTAAGATGGCTATCTTTACATCTGCTATTGTGTGGCCAGGGAGGCTGAAGTGTTCTTCTACAGGTTTTTGTATATTGCCATTCCTGATATCTGACTTGTGTCCATTTATCCTCTAGCATAGTGACTGTCCAGTTTGGCCAATGTACATAGCAGAGGGGCATTGCTGGCCCATGATGGCATATATAACATTGGTGGACATGCAGGTGAATGAGCTGGTGATGTTGTAGCTGATCTGGTTAGGTCCTGTGATGGTGTTGCTGGTGTAGATATGTGGGCAGAGTTGGCATCGAGGTTTGTTGCATGGGTTGGTTCCTGAGTTAGAGTTGTTATGGTGCAGTGCATGGTTGCTGGTGAGAATATGCTTAAGGTTGGCGGGTTGTCTGTGGGCGAGGACTGGCCTGCCTCCCAAGGTCTGTGAAAGTGAGGGATCATTGTCCAGGATGGGTTGTAGATCACTGATGATGCGTTGGAGAGGTTTAAGCTGAGGACGGTAGGTAATGGCCAGTGGAGTTCTGTTGGTTTCTTTTTTGGGCCTGTCTTGTAGCAAGAGGTTTCTAGGTACACGTCTGGCTCTGTTGATTTGTTTCTTTATTTCCTTGTGTGGGTATCGTAGTTTTGAGAATGCTTGGTGAAGATCTTGTAGGTGTTGGTCTCTGTCTGAGGGGTTGGAGCAGATGCGGTTGTAAAACTCCAACCCCTCAGACAGAGACCAACACCTACAAGATCTTCACCAACCATTCTCAAAACTATGATACCCACACAAGGCTCACCGGCTCATTCACCTGCATGTCCACCAATGTTATATATGCCATCATGTGCCAGCAATGCCCCTCTGCTATGTACATTGGCCAACCTCCTTTGTTTTTTGATAGGCTTGTCTGAGCTGCTTGACTTTCACGCGGCACTGATCTGAGTCCCTATTGTGGCCTCTCTCCATCATGCCCTTGGAGATTTTTTCAAAAGTTTTGGCATTTCATCTTTTCGAACAAAGTTCTACTAGCACTGAATCCTCTCCCCATATAGCGATCAGATCCAGTACCTCCCGTACGGTCCATGCTGGTGTTCTTTTTCGATTATCGGCCTGCATGGTTACCTGTGCTGATGAGCTGAGCTATCTGTGGTCACCTGTGCTCTCCACGCTGGGCAAACAGGAAATGAAATTCAAATGTTCGCGGGGCTTTTCCTGTCTACCTGGCCAGTGCATCCGAGTTCAGATTGCTGTCCAGAGCGGTCACAGTGGTGCACTGTGGGACAGCTCCCGGAGGCCAATACCATCGAATTGCAGCCACACTAACCCTAATTCGAAATGACAATATCGATTTTGGCGCTACGCCGCTCGTCAGGGTGGAGTACAGAAATCGATTTAAAGAGCTCTTTATTTCGAAATAAATGGCTTCGTTGTGTGGACAGGTGCAGGGTTAATTCGATTTAACGCTGCTAAATCCGAATTAAAGTCATAGTGTAGACCAGGCCTTAGTCTTAAAGGTGCCACAGGACCCTCTGTTGCTCTCTCCTGCAATGGCATAGCTGTAGCGGTACAGCTGTGCTGCCTTAAGATCTGTAGTGTAGACATAGCCTTAGTCGATGTAGTGGGCGACTTACATCGGTGGGAGCTCCATTTTACTGTATACGCTTACAGAGTTACACTTATGAGTAATTACGTCAACCTAACTCTGTAGTGTAGGCCAGGCCTTACTCCAGTAGCCTGTGACAGCAGCTGATTAAAATGACTCAAAAAGCAGCTTCTTCAAAACAAAGCATTATTTATTTCTTCACCCAAACATATATAGCACACAGAGCAAAGCAGGAAAACAGCATATATGGTAATCCTTCCTTTTAGGCTTCTGTAAGTTCCCTTCAGCCCAGTTAC